TTTGCCTGACCTCATACACCTCAGAACTGTACTAATTTGTACGCCTCTAGGAACTTTAGCATACCACATTGGCCCTGACCATCTAAAGTGCCTCCCTGCTACTAGTTCTCTGTCTTTATTTTTCTCCTGAGGTAGAAACGATATATGACAACACTTTATTGGGCATATGTGGATCTTGAGATCTTTGGCTGCTCTTGCTGCATAAAGAATCCAATTATCTTGACTGAATTTTTCTGGATCACATATAGGACAGAACTATATTGCCTCTTTTATTTGAATAGACTGAATGTCTTGTATAGTATATTTCCTGATGGATGGAATGGCAAGTCTGGATATAAGGTTTCCTACCAATGTGGTTTTTTGCCTTTCTTCTATTTCTGATAGGTTGAGACCACTTTGGCTGATTAGTATTGTGTTGGAACATTTGAAAGAGATTCTGTAAGCTGATTTTATGAGTTTGTTGATTTTGGTTTGGAGCTGTTTAAGATTTTTTTGGTTAAGAAATAATGAAAGCAGAAAGTATTCAAGTTTCCTCATGATTATTCAATCACTGATTTGCTGCTTGATCTCTCTTTTCCAATTGCATTTGAATAGCTTGTCAATGATTTGAGTTAATGTTTGGATGAAGACTTTTCTGTTTGTCCTAAGAAATTTCCTGGGGGAAATTAGTATGCCAATATATCTCACACTTTCATAGGATTTGAGAATTTGGATTTGGTAGTTATCAAATTTGATTGTTTCTTGAATACCATGTTTAATTTTAATGTTGTTAATAATTTTGGTTTTGTCCTTGTTGCATGTAATGTTATTAATTGCAAAAAACTGATCAGTTGTTGTGAAAAGATCTTCCATCTCTTACTTGGTTTCATCAATAAGTGCTAAATCATCCATATAGGCTAAGGTATTGGAAGCGATGTACCCTTGGACTGAACGGTGTTAAGCCAGTTTGGTAATAAGAGAATTATAAAAAATGATCCAGGTAATATGTAACAGGGTCTCACCTTGTTCTACTCCATTGTTGATGATAAATGGTTCAGTGGGTCCAAAGGGTGTATTAAAAGAGATTTCTTTGTTGCTAGAGATATTTATAAGAAGGTTGATAATTTGGTTTGGACAGTGGATTCTTTCTAGTGACTTTTTAATTGCTGGTATGGATGCTGAGTTGAATGCCTTTGCTATGTCTAGTGAGGCAAACCAAAATTCTTTGTTTTTGATATTAGCTATATGGAGAGCTGAGTTGACGATTGTTAATGATTCTATAGTGCTCTGACCTGAAAGACCAGTACAATTGTATTCAATAGAATATTGTTTTTCCTAATTATTTTGGTTAATCTCTTATTAATTATACCTGTGAATACTTTCCTTATAGAGTTGACAAGGATGATAGGTTTGATATCATTTCGTTTATAACTTCAAATTAGTTTTTTTGGGATAAGGGTAACAATGGTTTGTTTCCATTGTTCAGGTATGTTGCAGATTGTAAGATGTTATTAAAAATAGATATCATATAAAGAATTGGTTTTTCCTTTATAAGTTTGATAATGTTGTAGCTAATTCCTGATTTTCCTGGAGCTTTATATCTAGAAAGATTGTGAATAGCTTCTTTGATAATGGAAGGTTCAAGAGAGTTTGTTAGCTCATCATAAACTTATTGATTTACTGTCTTCAATAAGTAAATTTCTTCCCAATTCAGATGGTTGCTAAGGTTAAAGTTTCTTGGTCATAGGATATTTTTGAAATATTTGTTAATTGTTTCTTGAATTAGATCTGGATCATTCTCTAGTTTATTATTCAAGTTGTATATTTTACGAAGGTTGATTTTAGATTTAATTGTGCCAAGGACTTTTTTGATATAGCTCTTTGGTTTGCTATAAAAGTTCTCCACCATGTTTTTTAAATTTAAGTAGTATTCTTCAATAGTTTCTTGTTGTGATTGAATTAAAGCTTCCTTAATTAGAAGTTTCTTCAGCTTCTAGAAGTCTTTAATTGATATATTGGAGTCGTGATTGGAGATCTCATAAAGAGATAAAAGTTCTTGATCAAGAAGGGATGAGAATGGGTGGTTGTTTTAAGTTGTATTATTGTCTTGTTAATTTTTCTAGTTTGTTTTTTAAGTTTTCTCTCAACATTAGTGTAGTGGTCTTTTTTGATAAAGTTGACTCTGGACTTCTTAATATATTTGTTGAGAGTGTTGATACAAATGCTATAAAAGTCATGCCAATTGGATGACAGTAGAAGTGTAAGTCACAAGTACAATTCCTTGATAAATTCTAGGATATTTTCTTTGGAAGTCTTTTCTAGATCAAACTTGAACTTTGGTTTAATCTTTTTAAATTCGAAATAGTCTATTTTTATTGATACTGCTTGATGGTCTGTTGAAATTAAGTCAACTTCCAGTACTTCATACCAAATCACCTTAGGAGCGAGGTTTCTTGATACCCATATTTGGTTTAAACAGAAAGCACTAGTGTATTAATGCTTTGCTGTCATATTATTGCCATATGTTTATATAGTTAACAAGATGTTTATATATTAGTTATTTGTAATGTGAGGTTTTGGCTCCAATGGAGGGGCTGTCTTTAGAGTATGGGTTGAAGTCTTCTGCAATTAGATGATGAAGTTTGTTGCAAACAGCATATTTAATTGCTTGATGAATTTGTCTAATGGCTAGGTTTCTTTCTTTTCTTTCATGTGAAAGGTAGTGTTACTAAAATTTTTGAAAATTTTATTAACTTTGGATAGATACAACTATATATTAATCAAAATTTATTAAAATTTATTAGTTTTAGTTATGTTTTTTATAGAATACTTTATTCTTTTCTCCAAGAATTCTCAAAACACCTATATAGTTTTAAATGGCGCAGCAAATTCGGAGCACCGCAGCTCAAAAACTATGTTCTGAAGCTTTTTGAGGTTCTAAGCAACTATTTGAGAAAAGACTAGAGGAATAGCTTTTGTTAAGACCTCAAAAGCAACTGTCTTACTAATATTTTGAGTAATTTCGCTTTTTCTCTTATGGATAAGAATTTTCTTTGATGATCATCCTAAGTGTAACAAATTGATTCTCTAGCCAAATTTTTTGTGTAAATAGATGAACCACACATAAATAATTAGATTAGAGGCGTCCAATAATTGACCAAAACATTATAAAAAGGTTGCAATTTCTCTCAGCTGTGAAAAAAAGGAACAACTATTATAATTATAAAATTCTGAATTCTTGTATTTTCTTTAATTTTTTTTTAATAAAATTATATTTATCACATATTTTTCTTTTATATTTTTCTATTGTTTTTCTATTGAAATTCAATATTTTTATGTTGTTATCTTTTGATTTCAATATCAGGGCAGAGTTGTAAAATTGATTGAAACAATAATTTTGAATTGTTCATGTTAATTTATTTAATAGTTTGAAACAAAACATATAATGAATAAATTAAATCATTGAGAATTGAAAATTATTTTTTATTAGTAATTTTGAAGTCTGTCAAGGAAAAAACCGAAAGTTTCAATATATTTGATTGTGAATTTCATCTTCTTTTGATTTTCTTTGACATTTCTTTGAATTTTTTTCCTTTATTCTTCTTTATTCTGTTCCTATTTTCTTTTATTTTATAGGAACACCCTGTTCACTGTGAGTTTAAATTGGCACAATTTTCATTTTGCTCTTTCAAGGCAGTAACAATTTGGTGCCAGTTGTGTGGAATAAACACTTCTGTTTATCAAAAGCTTTATCCTTTTCTCTTTAAAAATACAGTTTTGTTTTTTTTCTTTATCTTTATTTTTTCTTATTTTTCTTGAATTATTGAAAATCATGGCAAATAATCAAAATCCTAATATTGGTTTAAACAATGTTGCAAATAATTTGAATCAACTGGTTCAACAGTTAATGGCAAATGCTAATCAACCCCAAGTGAATTACATCTGATCAGTTATCCTGATTTCTATAGTAGATAGCAGGATTCCATAACTTGGATGGAGGAAGTGGAACAAGCATTTAAGGCAAATAGGGTGCCTGATGCAAGAAAAATTCCAATTATTGTTTCTCATCTAAAAGGGTCTGCTGCTACCTGGTGGATAAACAGGAGGGTTCAAAACCCAGCTGTTAATAGGTGGGATGATCCAATGGCACAACCACTTAGCTTTAAATCAAATTTTCTTAAGCAATTTAGGATTGTATCTTTGAAAGAAAAATGGTTTTCACAACTTACTCAAAGAAAACAAGGACCTACTGAAACAGTTGAACAATTTTATCTGATTATTGAGGATTTATTTAGAAAGGTTATAACAGGAGAAAATTATTTTCCTGAAATGGCAAAAGCTCATATCTTTCTTAATGGATTGAGACCTGAATTAAATAGAGCAGTTACTCTATTCATGCCAAACGCTTTATATGAAGCATATACAAGGGCCAAAATATTTGAATATTCATATCTTTAAAATCCTTATGGTTATGATATAAATTCACAGTCAACTTCTGATCAAATATTGACACAACTGACTAAAGCAATTAATAATATGTCTGAACAATTCAAACCAAAAAAGGCAAGGAATTTTAAAAATAGTAATTATAATAGCAACAATAATAGCAACAAATCTCAAATAATTTGTTTCAAATATAATTAATCAGGACATGTTAAAACTAATAGTTCTATGAATCAACAAAACAATAATGTTGGAACAATTCAAATTATAACAATAACAGTTAAAATTATAACAATAATAACAATTCAAATCACAACAATAACAATAGTTTAAATTATAACAATAACAATGGTTCAAATAATAGTAATAACAGTTCAAATCAACAGAAAACATTACAAAATATATTGGCATTGTTAAGTCAAATAAATTTTAACAATAAAACAACAATGCTGGAAATAATAACAATGTTGAAAATAATAACAACAATGCTAGAAATAATAGCTACCATAAAAATAAAACATTTGTTTATATTTCTGAGCAGGATGTTTATATTTTTATTGCTGACAGGAACAAAAAGAAATCTCAAAGGACAAATCCTTTGAAATGCAAAGGAAAGGAACCTATGGTCTCTTTTGAAAATAATAATGAAAATAAACAAAATAAACAAGAAACTAGTATAGAACAGGAAAAACCAAATAAAATATTCACATTTCCTAATGAATGAGAATTCCAAAGTATTCCTACTGAGAGAAAAAAGCCAAAAAGGACCACAACAAGGAAAAGAAATATTGAGGATGAATTACCAGCAATTGCATCTTTGGTAACTCCATATTCAATTGTATCTAATCTTCAAAATAAACCTGTCAACATAACCTTTGGACAATTATTGAAAGAGATACTTTCTATGAGGCAGAAACTTTCAAAAAGTTTGACCAAAAAGAGAACAGTAAGGAGAAAAACCAAAAGGAATGTTAATGTTGGAACTTCTCAAGAATCAACAGCTTTATACTGTATTGCTACAGTTTATGAACATAAAATTTCATTAATTATTGATAGTGGATTATTTGAAAGTGTTGTAACTATACAACTGTTGAAAAAATTGAAAGTGAAACCTGAAAGATCTTCAATAATTAAAATGATCAGTGTTCATGGTGAAAGCAAAAGGGCACTGGATAAAATTTCAAATCTTCCTTTCAATGTAGGAGGTAATGAAATTCCTGTGGATATAGTTATAACTGATACAAACTTTTACCAGGCCTTGGTAGGAAATAATTGGCTTTCTAAGGTCAATGCACTTATTGATTATAATGGATCTCAAATGTCTATTTTCTGGAACAACAAGAAAATTAAAATTCCTGTGAAGTTTAGGAAAACTACAACAAAAGAAACTTTCAAAAACAATCAGGATTCTGACTCTGAATATAAATCTGATACTGAGGATAGTGATAATAAATCTGATTCTAATAGTGAATTTGAAACAAAGAAATTGAAAAATCAACTCTTTATTCTTAATAAATGGAATGATTAGGATCAATCATCCAACTTTGAGGAAAATTATTCAATGTCTTCTTTGAATGAGAAGCAACTATCTGACTCCATAAAAAATAATTCAATATTTTCTTTTGATGAAACAATAATTCATATTGAGAATCAATCATCAAGCTCTTTGAAAAATCAAATAACTTCTTTGAATGAATTAATAGTTAATGAGAATCAAACTGAATATACTTTTAATTCTTTGAAAAATCAATTGAATCAAACATATAATGAGAATAAGGAACCATCTGAATGTTATTATAATTCAGTGGAAAATTATTTAACAATCTATTTTGATGAAATAGAAAATAATGAAGCTAATAAAACTCAAATTGAAAACTTGGACAAGAAAAACTTGAAGGATTCAACTCAAATCATCAAATTTGATAAGGAAACATCTATTTGAAACTCTGATAAATTCAAAGAAACATATTTAATAAATTTCAATCTTGAAAATATTTTAACAATGGAACAAGAATATTATAATTCTTTATTTAAAAGAGAGAAATCTTTATGGACTAATCATAAAAGGATAACAAGTGAAGGTACTGTTGTCTTGTTAACAAACCCCAAAACTTTTCCTTCAAGATTAAAAAAACAAAAGAAAATTATAATGATTTTTATAAGGAAGGCTATATTATAGGAGATCAAATTCCTATATATCAATGTTATATAGCTGAATTGAAAAATATCAAGGAGGATAAAATCTGGATTCAATCTTATTATCACAAAGTTTATAATACTGGAATTCAAATATTTGATAGATTGATATGTAAAAAATTTATTTCTGATAATGAGTTTATTCCAATTAGTTTAAAATTTTATATAATTATAATTCCTTTTGAATATGAAAATAGAGAATTAATTTGGAGCCATTACATAGCTGTTGATGACCTTGGTTCCCAGAGATGAAAATTCATAGCATATGCTGGTTAAGGGCTGGTCAATCATATAGCACCTAGTGCAGGATGATGTTTGAGGCTATAGCATTCAATTAATTTCATATTTATTTTATTTTAATTTATATTTTATAACTTTTGATATCATATTTTATTGAAATTATATTTTAGTTTTTAGTTATTTTATTTTGGAATTTATATTTATAGTTTATTTTAAAATTATTTCAAAAGGACATAACTATATAGTTGGTTGGTTATGACTGTTTGATGCAGGGTTTGAGACATCTTATATTTTTATATTTTATATATTTTTTTTTGATGTTAAGGTGAGATGCTTCTCATGATCTTTATTGATAGAGTAATGTTAGCCTGGTAAAAGTCACATGGTATAGTCACATACCGTGACTATCGCGTCGCGTACCCTGGAAATTTAGGATAGCATTAGTAATTAGCATAGGGAATGTAGTCATAGTGGCTATGTAACTTACCCATAGTTTATTTAGCCCCGATAGTTTAGCCTCATCAATTTATGCATCAATAGTATAGCTGTGGG